ACTCATGTTCAGGAGGTCGGAGCCCGTCCCGGCAAAGTTCAACTCCATCTCCGGGGCATCCAGGAAGAAGAGCCCTGGCTCCGGGTTCGGAGACGCGAGTCCCTGTTGTTTCTGCAGAAGACCAAAAACACTGCTAGTCCAAGTCCAAGCCACGCACACCCTTGAACATGGGCGGATAGGAGATCCTTTGCTGATCCATGCCAATTTCGGGTGCAACAGCCATGGCTTGCTTGCAGGGAAAGGTTGAGAGGGACTTTGCGCTCTCCACTCTGCAGGCCAGCGTCATATGGACAAGCTCCACCAGCAGCCTCAGCTGACAGCGACAAAGCTGGCGTCCCAGCTGCCGCTTGCTCTTGTATATAATGGTATTCAGGTGTTAGTTAATTTGCCATTGCTTTGTTGATCCTTTGCCATGCTACTTGTATTGGACCCATTGGTTCTGGCTCTTACACCTAATCTCTTCTTGTCTGCTTCTTTTGCGTAGTGTCGCTGCCGGTCAGCCTCCGATGATAATATTGCACACTTACGTCATACCAAGGCATGCTCTCTCCCAGGTCCCATGACAAGGCCTTCTGTTTGAGGAGCCTGGAGCTGCAGGAACCCTCCGCAGCCCTGGGAGGAGCAGCCAGAAATGCTTCCAGAGCACTGCCCCTTCATCACCATGCCTGCATTGCGTGAAACGCAAGGGCTGCAAGCTTCTCTACCTCCACAGGTACGAACCCCGAAAGCACATGTGCTCAGAACCCCTGCAACCTCCAAAGCTCAGCTCTCCCTCTGGGGCTGTGCGCCACATGTGGGCCATACCCGCTCGTCACCACATGCTCATGCTATACCGTTGCATAAGCATTCGCCCAAGCCCAAATTGTGCTTTGCTTGAGGGCTTTACAGTCTTGACATAGGTTTCTCTCTTAATTCGATATAGCATGCATGGGCTCTTGTTGTCCTCTGCAGCCTCATAGTTCGCTTCATTTGCATATTTGGTTTCGAACCGCTACAGTTACAGCTCACGAAATCTTTCCAAAATCATGGTGGATCTTTTGTTTAGAACTGATGATCAAAACAGTCGGGTTAGGATTTACGGTCTAGTCCTTCCGGCCAACTCCTCTCCAAAGCCGCGCCTTGGACGCCCATCTCGGCCCCGGCGACTTTGAAGATAACATTGAGGTCTGCGTTCCACTCCTCCCGGACCAGCGCGATGAGGCTCGCTTCTCTGTTTCTTGGGTGGGTGCGGACACAGTGCCTTGCAGATCCGGTGGTGCCGCACCACTTGGGCTGAGTTTGACTGCAGAGGACTTGCGCGGCACACCCATGGAAACGAACCGAGGCTAGGGAAGCTTGGCGAGGAGACCTCTTGTTGGTAGCAGTAGCCGACCCAAATTTGAGAACCCAATAAAGAAGCCCTAACCACAGGATCCTCATTCGAAGTATCCCTAAGTAAGGTACTCCCAGTTTCTGAAACCCCCGAATTGATGGCGGGGCACGAAGCGGCAGCGAAAGACTATGTTCTCGCACATGCCTTCGGCAGTCTTCTCCTGGCCCAATACGCTCCATGCGATGAACACACAACATTGAGCCTCAAGACACTCGACTTCCTGTTCCAATCATAACAATCCTTGCTCATCACTTCGTGGCAGCATAACGGCGAGCAGCCAAAGGCAAAAAAACTCGAAGCCCCGGCACCTTGCGATCAAAGATCTTGATGCTTGTGAACTGCACCGCCTCATCCCCTGTCAGCTCTCGATTCGAAGCGCATCACGGAAACAAAATCGTCGTCAGGAGCTTGTTGGCAACACTATGACTTCCAATGCAACCGCGGCATGAATCAGGGCAACGCGCAAGCCCGGCCTAAGTGACAACGATCCTTGTCGAAGTCGGCACCCTTCGCTGCAGCTGGGGTAAGCCATTGACTGCTCCCATAGTTTAGGGCAGTAGGCCATGAGAGGATCCAAGCCGACCTATCTAATCACGACATGAGCAGCTGGAGTACAAGGTCTTGGGTTGCTGCTTACACTCTTCACCTACCTTCCCCCCGAATCCTTTCAGCTAGCTTTCCGCTTGTTAAGAAGAGATCTTAATTCGTCAACCTTCGTTCTGACCGTTCTGGCTCGCGCCTGTAGCTGCGACGGCAAAGCTGAGCGGACCATGGGACCGATCTCCTTCGTGAGCATCTCATGTGCCTAGCAAAAGCATGGAGCAACGGCCGTGGAGACGATTCTGGTGGACGGGCAGGAACTGTGCCGAAGAGAGAATGCCATGCTGAGGTCGGCAATGGCCAGGAACCAGCTTTTGCCCAAGCGGCCCAATGCGAGATCCGGGGCCACAGGAAACTCAAAATCTCCTGAGGGCTTTGGGGCTTGGAAGTTCGGATTTAGCGGGACTTGGAGTCAGCGAGTATCCAAATCCAACTCTCGCCAATTCCCAAAGCTCTGTCTGCGTGTTAGCCGGTCGAGCCGTCGCACAACCGCTGAAGAATCAAAGCAGGGGCACGTTGGCCGGCTCGGCGATTGGCGCGATATAACCTGCAGTTCACTAGCAGGGAGCTTCTTCATATAGAAATCGAAACACGCAGAATAAGGATTTGGGACTATACATTCACACTCGACCCTCGACCTCGACTTCCCAGCTTCCAGAAGGCCCAAAGGAGAAGCTCCCCCTTCAACGCCCCAAACCCGCTCAAGCTGGGCCTTTGGGCGTGTCCAGCGCGTTGGTTTCATTTGTGATCTTCTGACCAACGTTCATGGAGTTGGTCCTGGGCTTGAGGTAAATGGCGCACGTATGTGCCTGTCAGCCTTCGCATGTTAACGGCAAAGGTTGAGATTATTCCCAGAAGGCAGTCCGACCGTCCGAGAAAATTTTTGAAAAGACGCGAAGTCTAAGCCGCGCTGACTGTCCGTGAATACATAGGATTCAGCTCCGGAACTCAGGAACAAGGACCCCACGACCCAAATTTGGCTGGGCTGCAACTGGCTCATCCCGCGCGAGTAGCCACCCGGGTCGACACCAGTTTTGAGCTCCACATCTCGGGCGGGGGATTCGAGACATGGCCACGAGCTTTTACAACCTTGCGGTCCGAAGGCATCTAAGTATACAGAAATGCTACCAAGAGTACAATAGAACAGCAGAAGCAGGAGGAGCATTCGCTGGCTTACAACACGTTTCCATGGATTGTGGGTGGCCAACAGAGCCGTAAGTCATCTTCCATTTTGGTTTGTGCACCAAGACGTCTGAAAGGCAAAGGGCGACATCAGGTACGACGATGATCGTGATCACTTACGTCCCTACTACCTACCATGCCGATCTTATCCCTCATCGCCTCCGTCTCCTGTGGCTGGGCGTTGATGCATGCGCGTCTCGCGCAGCTCATGTCGGAGCGCCTACAGGCGTGACAAGCAATAGGGTTTGGAGTTTATGGCCGTTGATGGCTCAGGCCGCAAGACTTGGAAACCGGAAACCGTGGTGAGGCCTTCAGGTCGCCTCTCAGATCGTGGACCTGTGAGGACTGTCAGGAGATGTCACGAGTTCAAGGGTTCTATAGAGTTTCGAAATGGTCTTGGGCGGTTGGATCTTTGACAAAAATGCCCTGGCAGAGGGTTCAAGTCGAGAAGAGGTGAAAGCAACCCCTGCATCCCGAGTGCAACGTGCCCGCCTCCTTGTGAATCTCGTTCGGCCTTAGCTCAGAGCACGAGAGCGAGCGATCCGGGGAGGGAGGGGCAAGGCTCAGGGCGCAGGGCACTGGGGATCTGATGAAGGGCCACGCAGACATGCAAAACCCATTTCCGCAGACACGACCTTGCACTCCCACATCAAGTCAAAACCTTGAAGCTCGCAAACCAAAGCTGCCCTTCTCCGAGTGGCTGTGGGCCGGCGGCATGGGAGCACCCCATGGCGCCAGCGAAGATCAAGAGGGTTCAGAACACCAGAACGACACCATCCTTCACTTGGACTTTCCTTAAACCTGAGTGATCCCAACGGCCATGACCTTGTGGTGACATGAACTGGCGTTTGCGTTCGAAGGTTGCAATCGCGCCACGCCCGGATACGCGGACTCGGTCACGACGTGCAGCCCGTGTTGGGCCGGCAGCCAGGCTGGAGCCAGACACAAGTTGCCGAAACGTTTTGCGTCATAGCTGCAAGTTTAATTCATCTGCCGCAACGTACTGCGCTACAGTGCCCAGGCACTGAATACCCTGATGGCCCCGTTCGCCCCAACAACTCTGGAAAGCATGCTCCCGACCCTCCACAAATCTCCACAAGTCAACCTGAACGTTTCCACGTTACTCGACCAGAGTGTGAACTCTACACAACAAGTTTTCACTCGCTACACCATAGACCATTGACTCCAGTCACCGACTGTGCGCACGCCCTTCCGCGCCCGGCTGGCGAGCGGGGCGATGCCACGTGATGAGGCGATCGTCGTCTTGGAGGCTCCTGAGCAGCGGCGCAGCGCTGGGAGTGGCGTCAAAAGCGATTTCACGGCGGACTTCGCGGTAGTCTTGAGAGGCCACGAGTGTCCACCAGGCAGCTTTGGGTGTGACCCTGGGCACCCGTGCAACTGCGAAACGTTCTTTGAAGCCTCTCCAAAGTGCTACCTGACAGCCCCATTGTGTGCCTCAGGAAGGCATTGATGAAGAATCCGTCCTGCGAGCTTCTGAAGGCATGTCTGCTTTCGACTCTTGCTGTAAGGGGCGCGACTGGTGCAGTGTCTCGACTGCACTCAGTGTCCGACTGCTGTCCAAGTCCACTTTTACTCAATTACATTGGCAGCAGTGGTCAAATCATACATGAACACAGGCTTGAGGCCCGCCATTGATTCTCCCCTAAGGACACACGAAAGTGTCGAAGGGCGATGGAGGCGTGAGGTCTTGCTTTACTTACCTTGATCCGCTTTTAATGATATCGCCCTTCCACACATCGAAAAGCTCAGACGGCTCTGAAATCCACTTGAGGGCTTCAGCCCCTCGGAAGGGAGGCCGATGAAAGCTAGTGGCGGTGTGACCCGTTCACCCGTACTGCTCGATCCGCCATACCCGCACAGCACCTGCGGGCAGCACCAGGAATTTTTCAGTTCACACTCCAAGGACGACACCCAGGCTTCTTAGCCGTCTTAGCCCCCACCGATCCGAATCCGAAGGCGGGCGCCGCGACTCACAGGCTGCACTCTGCACAGAAGGATTCTCAAAAAACGGCAGGAGCCGCCCAACTCGAAGCTCTCACCCAGATCTCCCCTTGCTTCAACTGCGGCACGGTCGTGTGACGCGGAGAAGAGTCGGTTGCCTGCTTTGGTCTATGTGGAAGGAGAAGTTAAGATGCTGCTGCATCCTTCCATTTACAGGCTTCGCACGATTCCTGCTACATTTCACCTTCGGTTCTGCTTGGCCGTATACCTTACATGTTGGTTTCTTGCTATCTCGGTGTATTCAAGGCTCAGGGGTGCAAACTTTGGGTCTTGGGGCTCACGGCTTGGGAATCGGGTTCTCGAAGCCCGATTTGGCAATTCACATCTGTGCAAGGTTGTGATGCCTATCACTTGTCAGTGTCAATGCTTGGGCCTACATCGCTGATGGTTGCAGCGACCCATGAGCCTTCCAATAGCCCCTCAGTGTATTCCTTTACATAACACTTCGAAAATCTAGCCTCGGTAGCAGAGGAAGGGCCTTCGGGCTGCTCCATCCATCTTAATGAACCTTTTTTCGGAGGCGTTGGCTGGATTTCTGAGCACCGGGTTCAGTGTCATGATGTGTCATGACGATGATTCTCCTACCTCACACAGGTGACCCGCCGGGCCTACAGCTGTCAGCGCGGAGACCGGACCACGGTGGCCCTGGTGCCCCAGCGGGCTTAAGGTTCAGGCACTCGGGGTGGCGAGTTTGGTAAGCTGTGAGCAAAGCACAGATGCCATGCCAGGAAGGCAAGCCGTTCACGGTCTCGCCGCATCTAATTTGCTCCACAAGGCTACGAGGACCATCCTGTTTGCAGCGTCTGCTTCTTTGTGACTCGTATCCCGCCCGCTCGATTGAAGCATGTGCTTCTTCGCACTCCTTGCCCCCGCAGCGTGTGCTTCTTCATGCTTTGTGCCCCGATCGTGATTGCTCCTTAAACTCCAAGCCCCGAGAGCCCGAAAGCCTCCAAGCCGAAGCCTCAAGCGCTTGAAATCCCTAGAGACTCTGCAGTGCCTGCAACACGTCTTGACATTGGAGCTCGCCATCCCAGACCTTCACAACGCCGTCCTGAGGCTCAAGTTCGTCACCGACAACTGTCAACTAAGCCAAGCTGCTTCGGACCAGGTTGGAGGCCCGGCGAAAAGGCAGGCCAACCCAAAATCGTGACAAATGCTCTTCAGCCCCAAAGCCCGCAGAAGACTTTTGCAGTCACCTTGGAGCCGGAGAAGAGCACATCATCGCTCGGAGACCTTGCACTTGCTCTTGCGCGCGGGTTTGGGGCTCAGCGGCTCAGGTTGTTGGAGATTGGCTTGCGCCGTCGGCTTCCCGTGCGGGGCTTGGGCTCTGCCACCCGGCTTTGCCTTGCTGCGAAACAGGCATCCCTGGTCCCCGCGGGGTTCAGGGCTTAAGGTTTGCAAAAGTGTGCGCCAAAGTCAAACGGTTCTTGGCCAGATCAAGCTGCACTTGCTTTTGTTGCCGCAGCCGGGGGTGGCTGTGGAGTAACACATGCCACTACAGACTTTTGAAGGCTTCCTGTCTTGCACACCTCGAAACTATGAAACTATAGACCATGGACTTAGATCTTGGATGTGGGTCACACTTGTTAGGTTAAGCGTCCTTCACCGCACGCAATGCTGGTGTTGCGGACGGAACGGTGCTACGAAGCTCGTGTTCGTTTTACCGATGTTGCATGGTGGTTCGCAGCTCCTGGCACGAAGGCTTGCATCGATCCTTACACGTCCGAGCGGCATGCAAAGCGCCTGGATCCAGTCACCGTGCACGTGCAACGTGTGCATGGTGTTGGTCAGTGATTGCCTTACAGGACGGGCCATCTTGCCGGATTCCGGGTGCACATGGGCGGCTTTCCAAGCTCAATTTCGGACAGGTTTGCTATGTTCACACAGGAGAGGGAAAGATCAAAGCGCAACAGTTCCTGAGATCTCGTGGCAAGTCGCACGTCCCACTCCTTGATGGATCTGTCTCCTCAGCTTGGGCAACAACACGCCGTTTCCTAAGCCACGCATCATGCTGTGGATGGACTTGGCTTCGCATGATCGGATGCCGTGCATTCCTGTTCTGGGCGGACTACACGGACCCCTAATCCCCAGCCCTGAGACGTGGAATCCTGCATGTCCCGAAAGACACCCCCTCACCCCGCTCTCTGCGGGCCAGTCATCGGGAGCCGGAATAGAACTTGCCATGCTTCCCTGGGCAATGCCGCTTGGGTTTGTCGGTCCGAGGATGCAGAGCCTAGGGTTCAGAGCTTGAAGATCACGCGTGCATGGTCTTTGCAGGCTTTAGAAGTGCAGCCGCTGAATCTGTTCTCTGGGATGCTTCTCATAACTGCCCGAAGTTTCAATCGATGCAATCATCCCAAGTTTTCAGGACACGTGGAAGACACGGAGAATAATGGTCACCTCCGACCCAACAGCATTTCTTGGCCGTCATGTGCATCACTGGCTTCAGACGCATCATGATCTGGTGCGTCAGTGAATCCGCAGTACGACTCAGCTGGTGGTCCCAAACATGTGCGCCCTCATGCAAACTCCGCGGTACTTTCGCTACGACTCTACCGTGACGGTGACGGCGATGTGATGCTGATTTATACAGGAACCTTTCGGAGGCACAAAATGTAGTGCAAAGACTCCTGCTACTGCTGCTCGTATGCCATGAGGATTGACGAAAATGCAAAACCTACCTGTCAGAGTTGTAATAGCCGTTGCCGTAGTAGTAGCAGCCGCAGTAGCATAAGCTGTAGCTGCAGTAGCTCGTGTGAGGGAGAAGTCAAAAAAGAGCAGTAGTAGAAGTAGTAGCAGTACTGGCACTAGCAGCAGTCGTAGCAGCAGAAGTAGTAGTAGTAGTCGTCGTCGTCGTCGTCGTGGTAGTGGTTGTGGTTTAGCAGTAGTTGTAGTAGTAGTTGTTGTTGGTGGTGCAGCAGCAGCTAGTGTAGTTGTTGTTGCTGTCGTACTACTACTATACTACTACTACTACTACTACTACTACTACTACTACTACTACTACTACTACTACTACTACTACTGCTATTCTACTACCACTACCACTACTACTACTTCTTCTACTACTACTCCTGCTGCTACTACTACTATACTGCTCCCAAGCAAACGAGGGCTAATCAGCGATGACCGCTTGCACCACTTGCACCACTTGGAGGGGAGGGGACCGGCAATCTCATCTTGGTAATCTTGGCCAAGATGACCAAGATTACCCAGATTACCGCCCACCCCCCCAAGTGGTGCAAGTGGCGCAAGCGGTGCATTCGGGTCAAGATTGCAAGACAGGCAAGATTAGCAAGATGGGCAAGATTACCACCATTGCCGTACAAACGATCGGTCCTAAGTGGCACAATGTACTACCACTTCTGCCACCACCACCACCACCACCACCACTACTACTACTTCTTCTACTTCTACTTCTACTTCTACTTCTACTTCTACTTCTACTTCTACTTCTACTTCTACTTCTACTTCTACTACTACTACAACTACTACTACTGCTACCACAACTACCACTACAACTACTACTACTGCTACCACAACTACCACTACTACTACTACTGCTACTACTGCTACTACTACCACTACTACTACCACTACTACTACTACTACTACTACGACTACTACTACTACTAAAACTACACTACTACTACTACTACTACTACTACTACTACTACTACTACTACTACTACTACTACTACTACTACTACTACTACTACTACTACGGTAGCAGCAGGAGTATAGCAGCAGCAGCAGCAGCAGCAGCAGCAGCAGCTGCAGCTAGTAGTACTCCTAGTACTAGTACTAGGAGGAGGAGGACGAGGAGGAGGAGGAAGCGGAGGAGGAGGAGGAGTCCAACGGTCTTTACGAGAGGAGCCGCAGCACAAGTTGGTTGTGCTAGCATTGGCAGTAAAACCCACTCAAGCATGGAGCCCTTCGTGGCGCCTGCCACGGCAATGCTGGTAACGCCATCGTAGTGGGGAGGGTGAAGGGTCCTTGGCTTGTTCAGCACATCTGATGCGGGTTTCTCTCGCAGGCATTGCCGGGTGCCTGAGCTAACTCACTAGCACCGACGGTCGATGCACGCCGCGAAGAAACCCGGCATCCCAACGACCACAAAATCGCCTAGAGCCTGCAAAGCCACCATTTGTTACGGGCGAGACATGCAGTAAGGATTATGATGGAGTTGACAGTTCTCATAAGGGTGATGGCGATCATGATCATTAAGGCCGTCAGCGAGTAGCACCCTTCGTTCCAATGTCAACAAAGCCGTCCGACGAATTGCTTGCCAGGCGCTTGCTCACCGCCCAGGTGGAGGCATTCCAGACTTTAAGCGACCTCGGGCACGGTGCGTGGAGTGGACCTGCTCGACAACAGCCTACGCCTGTGTCGCCCTACCCACTCCTCCACAAAACCCTTTCAGCTACATGCAAGGCCAGCGGAGTGGAGGAGCAAACTATCTAGATCTTCCCAGCTTAACAGGTACACCTGGACCCCGCACCTCGCACTTCAAGAGACAAACCTCCCAGAAATGTCCTGAGGGCTCCGAATCATGCCAAAGCACCGGTCACGTGCACCCGACACGACCTTCGCAGAGCCACAGCGTCAAAAACCACGCGCTCAAGCGGAAACGGAATGAAACGCATAAATGCGCCCCCACACACACACACAGAATCACACAGACACACACAGACACACACACACACACACTTGCAAACTCCATGGTGGGAGTAGCTAGAGCGATTTACTTCCTCAGCCTTCTTCCAACACAGAGGAGTAGGATGTAGAGAGGATTCTGGCTTAGCCTCTTGTCATATTGATGGCCAATCCAGCTGTGCTTCCAGCACCCAGGAACTGGCCTGCAGGTACGTTTGCCTGTCCATCTGACACAGAGCTTCGTTGGCGCGAGCTGTGTCAGAGGACCCCGCGCCCCCTGCGGATTTGGTCCCTTTGCTATCAGTACACACACGCACCACACACCCACACACCCACACACCCACACACCCCCACACACACACACAGGTTTGTCCCTCTCCAACCACAGTCGCAGCGAGGCGACCTTGCGACTCGCGGCCGAGGACTCCGTTTCGGCCGGCACGGCACGGCACGAGCGGGAGTTCTTCATACATAGTAGTCTTGTGTACTGGGAAGAGTTTCTTAGCGTTGGCTGTCTGCTGGTGGTGTGTTGGTTCTGATCCGTCCGGAGAAGATCCAGGCTTTGCAGTTCAGAGGAACACTAGAAACCCAAGCCCTGCTGCTCGCGAGCCTGCAACGGCGATCCGAAGCGGTCCAAGGCGAACACCTCGGGGGCTCAGAAAGACAAGCTGCACTTTACGGGACCACAAAGTCCCGAAGCTACCGCAAGTGGCACTCATTTCCTGGCATCAGTCTGTCACTCTGTCCTCTCCCATCTTCACAGGCCAGATAAGCGCCGGTCAGGCCAAAAAGTGTAAGCCAGTGGCCCCTCCAAGATGCGCAGCCTCTAGGCAGGCCACGGCCTGTGTTTCAGGCATGGACAGGTTTTACACCCCCAACATTCGTGCGGCTCAAAAGAATCACGCACATCTTGAGGGTCTTGTGTCAGCGGATATCTGGCTTACTGAAGTGGTATTACGACTAAGCAAGCCATATTCTGTTGCTGCTGTTGCTGCTGCTGCGCTGCTCCGGCTTCTCATCCTGCTGTTAGTGCTGCTCTGCTACTGCTTCTGCTAGCCGATCTCATCATTGTATCTCTTGCTGCCTCACGGCTGAGGTGCAGTTTACGAAGAGGCGTTGGTGCGGGGCTGATGGGCCAACGCGGGTGCATGATTCCTAGCTTTGCTTCGAGTTTAAGTTATAGTTGTCCTTGACAGTAACATGATAGAACCTGGTTCATGTGGATGGTTTCCTCTACGGTACCTCTGCAAAGGCCTCAGCAGGGCTCGGCAGTGTGTGTAGCTTCCGCAGGTTTCTACATGCTGCTGGCGACCCCGGCCGCCGTGATTTCCAGTGGCAAGTTTGGGCAAGGTTGCTCGGAAATGCCGTGGCATGATTCGAGATGGTTTGCCTTGCCTTGCCAGCATTACCTGCAAGATGTCACGTGCTCACCTTGGCATCCTTCACTTCCAGTGCTGTAACGAGCCAAGCGCCTCAAAGGTCGCCAGGTCCCACACGCGGATAGATCCTGAGTCCAGCAGACACCAGCTGACCGCTCAGGTTTCGGGCTGGGTGCTCAAGGCACTGGCCAAGGTCTACAGCCGGGTGCCCTGAAAATCTAGCTACAAGAAGTGCAGCAATCGCCACACATGCCGAATCTAAGGTCTCGCAATCCCGAAACGGATAGGCCCTAGAGAAGTGCTGCAAGCTGCAATCAACTCTTCAAATTCGCCCCTCATCCCCAGACTCGATCTACAATGGGATGCCGTGGAACATATCCATGCCCGTTCCTGCACCCTCTGCGAACACCTCTTGACGTCGTCCGCACAAACTTCCGCAGGACCAATGTGACAAGTGTCGATCTTCCGACCCAGAAACAAGAACGTCTGCCCCCTCCAGAATCAGGATCGCATTCACCTCACAGGCTACAGTGGCTATACAACTCCTTCAGCACGTGGCGTTCTTGGAGGGCGGGTGGCTGCTCGGGAAACGGGTTCGTAGACAATGCCCACGTTGGCTATACGTACCTTCCGACGACTTTCTCTCATGTGGGCCGGTTGTTGCGGGAACGCCAACATACGGTCCCCTGGCTGGTTGCGGCCAGCTCTGTCGAAGAACTGAAGCTTACCAAAGTCCTAAAACCCTTTCAGATGCATGGGCCAGCAGCTGCAAAGTCGAAACTGTTCACCAACCACCCACACGGCCGACCCGACCTACCCTACCTACCCTGATCTCTCGCATCTCCTGCCCGCAATGCCGCCCAAGCCACACCGCCAGTGTGGCCCAGCAGTGTCTTCACTGTTGAAAATGTCCTCCAGAAGCTGTCAACCAACAAGCATACGCATTGTCTTCCGCCCCGTGCCGATATCTCATCCAATCTGGATCTTGTCTTTCCAGCACTATCGACACTGCCTGAGGCTCTCTTCTTGTCCCCTGGATGGCCTTTGGCAAGCAAGGGAAGGAAGATCTAGCAAGCAGCTGTGCTGCTCCACTTCGAAGTGAAAGACATAAGAACCTTCGATGAAAGAGTCGAGTCGAGTCGACACAATCTGCATGCTGTTGTGGCACTTCCGCTGTTCTACGGCATTCCCGAGCTCTACGAGGCAGCGCCTACAGCATCCATTCGCCCGTCTCAGGATACGATGCCATGTGATTCGGACAGGAGCCATGGTATTGGCCGGGACGCAGCTGACTGGTAGCCCAACTCGTGAGCGCATCAACCGTTCCGACCGTAGCAGGTCGTCTCGACGTGTCCCAGGGCTTCGTGAGGTTAAATGTGGATGTCAACGTCTCGCCTTGGCTTTGCGTGCCTCGCGAAGCATGAGGCCGTGAGTTGGAGACGTAGCTTTGCAGCTTCGGGTGATCCTGGAGCACTAGCCCTGCCCACATCGTCGGTGCCCCCTTGCTGGGCTCCACTCTGGGCTCCTCCAGCAAGCCGGCACTGGTCGACCCCAGGCGGGAGCACGGGGAGCACGGGGAACTCCCGATCGAACTCGGTAGAGAACTGCCAAATGAGCTCCACGTCCCTGATGCCGCCATTTCCGGGACACGGGCAATCGACGGGAGCGGCCTGCAGGACTTCTTCAGTTGCAGGCGTGCTGCTCGCTCCCGCTCGATACTGGCATGCCAGCTTGCATTGCCCGTGCGGGACACCAGCTCCAGAGGCATCGTATGCTTGGTCTTTCGGGGAAAACAGACCGTCCAAACTGCCTGGGCACCTCGAGCCAGAGTCAAAGCCGAAACGTGGCCACTGTTAAGCCATGCAAACGAGCGAAATCGGCCCGACCACTGGCTGCAACCACCATTAACTTGCCTGATTTGCGCTAGGTCTGAGTCTGCAACCCTTGAATGACCCGAAACACCCGTTACTGTCTCCGGTAAGCCCAAAGGGCCCCAAAGCCCGAAACGCTCGGAGCCTATTCTGGTGCCCTACCCTCACTACGACTATAGGAGCCGGGCGACTCGAGGCTCCAAACGCGGATGGTGCGATCCTGGGACCCCGAGCAAAGCACCTCACGATCGCTCAGCAGACGGGTGAGGATGCAAGCAGACCTAAGGCCCTACTGAGAGTTGCGTGGCGTTGTCGTGGGGCTGAGGACTTGACATTTTAGATCGGGAAGTGGTCGAAGATGGCGCAAATCAGAGGCATAAGGATCGATGTTGATGCTGGCGTGTACGGCTTAAGGCGTATGTTTGTAGAAAATTGCGAAAATGAAAAGATACTGCAAGACACACTTCACACAGAGAGAGGGAGAGAGGGGGCAGAGAGCGAGAGAGAGAGAGAGAGAGAGAGCGAGCGAGCGAGCGAGCGAGGGAGAGAGAGAGAGAGAGACAGAGAGAGAGAGGAAGAAAAAGATACGGACAGAGAAAGCCAGAGAAATGGCAGAGTGAGAGTGCGAGCGCGGGGAAGAGCGAAGCCGAGCAGGAGTGAGAATGCCAGTACCAGGCCAAGTGCGAGTGCCAGAGCTCGCCAGAGCCAGTGCTAGTGGAGCGGAGCGGAGTGGAGCGAGTGAGTAACTGGATGGAATGAGAGCGCAACGAGCATGCGTGGGCTTGTCTAGACTTCTCTCAGCTGCAAGCGTGCCTTCTTCGCATAGCTAGCGTAGAGGCACTTGACGAAGCCCTTGTGCCCAGGCAGGGTGCCTATGTACCTGGGCTTGTGCTACTTGAAGCCAACGGCTGGTCATGTGATTGCAGGGCGTTGGGGCATTGGACCCTTGCAGCTCAGGGTGACTACAATGCAATGCTATGCACATGGTCGGAAGCACATTACGTAACCCTTGTATTCCCAAGGTGCTGCAGGTTGTTGAGGTCCCAAATCATGATGTCACCATCCTGGGAGCCAGTGAAAAGGATGTCCCCGACGCCGCACAGACATCTGGGCGAGCAGACTCTCCCGACTTTCTCCTAAAGGTCCAGCGCTTTCTTCCTTACGAAGGTGGTGCAGGTATGCAGATCCCGTCACAAGCGCCAAACCCGTTCTATTCTGATGTAAGACAGCACACCGCCCTCTGAGAATTACAACTCAACCCGCTCCGTTGATCTCAAGGATTTGCCGATGCCCCCAAGGCACAGCACCGACCCAGTGTGTCCGGCGAGGATGTGCACACAGTGCTCCTGTCATTTCGGGCCATTTGGAGTTTCTAGTCCTGTAGCTCACTTATGGTGTTCAATGCTGCCAGATTCGACTTGGCGGTCTACGGCTGTCACACTCGCCAGAGCAGTCGAAAGCACCGATATGTGGGTGAGATTGGGTGCGTACCATAAGGTGGCACTATGACTAGCTGACTAGCTAATCTATCAGGCGCGGGCCAGGACGCACAAGAAACCCTGCGGGAAGGCTCTCCTCTGGGGCACTCTGGTGCGCAGTCGGCGTTGTGCTGCCCCCGACCTTCGCCGCTCAGCACTATGGATGTGATCGCTCTTTCTTTCTGCAGGCTTAGATGGGAGGTGGTCTCTCTCCCGCCCTGCCCCAGGGTGCACCCTGCCGTGGAGAGGTAGAGACTTCGGGACACGGCAAGATCCTATCGATCCTTGCCAAGGGAACAGGAATAGCGGCAAGCACCTTCATGGAGATAACCTTACAAACGCATTCCAAGCAGGTCCCTGAAAGTCATCTTCCCCACGTCTCAGGGCCATCCTTTGTCGGCACAGAATACAAGATCTTGCCCCCCATAACACCATGAAACAAAGTCTCCGTCTTTCTCCCTCTGTGCCGCTGCTTCCTGATTCAACGATTGACCCACAGCCTGCTAAACGATGTGACAAGAGAATGATAAGCAAGAGAAGGACGATTCTAACAGCACTGACGACGAGGCATTCACAAGCTCAATATAATATAGCCCAATCAAGAAGACGGCAAAAGCTCAGAAAAATCGTGCGGCAGAAGATGATGCAGGCGAGGATAGTGAGGAGCATTGTACAAAGATGGAGAGGGAGCATCACGAAGATCAAAGAAAGGTGGAAGATGCTGCAAAATCACGAGGAACACGACATGACAGGCGGGGAGGATTTCAGGTGGGAGAAATAGACGAAGATAAGCGTGGAAGACTGGAAGACTCCCCATTTTCCTTCATCTCCTTCTCCCTTCTCCGCCCCAGGCTCTCTCCGAGGCACTGAAGCATGGAGCCCTCCGCTGCGCGCAGGGCGCGGAGGCGACTTCCTGGGCTTTTTGGTCGACAGGCTCGATGAGAGCTAAGATCGCGGACGCCAGTTTGGGTGCTTTCGAGGGGCTTAGCCATCGCAGAGTCAGGCTGGGACTTCCAGAATCGGCTGGCCGGAGATATTGACAGGAATCCTTTCTCGAGTCATGAGTCTTATCACTATGCCCCCTTTGGAGATGTCGGCTCCACCCCTCAAAGCGCCCCCCTGCTACAGTCTCCTCAGTCTCCGAAAGACCAATGATTGCCACTGAACACCCGTTAGTCTCCGGGCGACTGCCTTGGTGGTGACTTGTCTCGCTGCCGCTCCTCACGAGACTCTTTCAGAGCCGAAGCCGAGTCCGAACCCCTCAAAGCTAACCTCACATGTTCCACTCGTAAGCCTCCCCTAAGCGCTTCTAGGAAGCCTTTCTGCTTTGCACAAGTAAATGCGAGCCCCTCCCCTCCCTGGGCACCCGATCTCGGCGAAGCTGCCCACTCATGGAGTGGTTGCCTCAGGGCAGACGGAGGTTCCAGTCTTCCGGTATCCTTCTAGCCCGTCCACGGATGTTACGAAAAAGGGTAACATTCCCCTCACCCAAAAGACTCGCCAAAACCTTGCGAGGTGCTTGGCGACTGCTGCATCTTCGCCCGTGACTCCTGACGTGAAGAAAGGAGTTCTCTTGGCACGTGACAAGTCGAAGAAATTGCTCACATTTCCTTCAAGTTGAACTCTATGCGCGGTGTCTCGCTAAGAGCTCATCGCCTTCCTTGAGGCAGTTCTTCATGAACTCTGAAATCCTAGCGATCTTCGACCCTCAAAGAAGGGCCGAACTGGGAATTGCTGTACTAAACAATGCGAGGCGTGAGGTTCCGCCGACTGACTGAAAACGGCACGGCCAAGGGAATCTGGGTGCCGAAGGAGGGCCGCCAGCAGCTTCCAGGCAGGTTTGCAAGGAATAAAATTAGCTTGAGTACATGACCACGGTGGCACTGACCCTTGTTACTTCTTCTTCACAAGAGTGCTTGGAAGGTCCGCAAACCTTCCTGGAAGCCTTCCGGGGAATCAGGTGGGCAGCTCTGTCGGGATGCTCCACACCCTGCGCACAATATGAGAAGCCGCTGAGACACAGGTGGCTCGCTCCCACAACTGCTAAGATCCTCGACTTGTCTCATACTCGGCCTCTCCAGAATGCATGTGTTCAAAAGCTGCCGTCAGTGCGGACAAACATCTCACGATCTCTAGAAGCACGGCGTGCCCGTCAAGCTCAAAACTCCTGGCCTGTTCAAAATAGACCTCTGCTCCGGCTTTTAGACGATGGCTATGGCTTTGGGGTTCTCGGCTTTGGCTTGTATCGTCTAAGGGCCAGGGCAGCAGCACCAGACTTGCTCTGCTTGTTCGACACATGGGCTTGTTCATTTACACAGATATAATGCACAAGCGTTTTGCTTGGAGAATAGAAACAAAGATAAGAAGAGTCTCAGCAGGCTCATGCCTCACTCAGGGGATGCGGCGAGAATGTCCTCTGAGCATCCTGCAGAGAACTTCTTGAAGTTGTCCTTGAAGAGCGTGGCAAGCTTGACTGATGCCTTCTGGAACTCCTCCTGGTTCGACCAAGTCTTGTTGGGCATAAGGATGTTGCTGTCCACGCCGGCACAGGACTTCGGCACTTGGAGGTTGAACCGCGCGAAAGTCTCGAACTCGCCCCCTGCGAGGTTGCCATCGTGGATGGCATCGATGATGGCACGGGTGTCCTTCAAACTCATGCGGTGGCCCACTCCATAAGATCCTGAGCTCTTTAGACATGCATCACTTCGATTCAAGTTACCACCAGAAGGAATGCATGCCACTTACCAGACCTCCCTGTTATGGTATCTTCAAGCGCCTAGGATCCGCCGGTCCAGCCGGTGTTGATGAGCCAGGCGTTCACGTTGTGCTGAGCCATCTTCTCGGCAAGGAGCTCGGCATACTTGGCGGGATGCCACACCATGAATGGAGCCCCGAAACAGGCGGAGAAGGTGGCGGTAGGCTCAGTGACACCCATCTCTGTGCCGGCCACTTTGGCAGTGTACCCCGAAATGAAATGGTACATCGCCTGGGCTGGCGTCAGCTTTGACACCGGAGGCAGCACCCCGAAAGCATCGCAGGTCAACATGATGATGTTCTTCGGGTGCCCCGCGACGGCCGGGATCTTCACATTCGGGATGTATTCAAGCGGATAGGACACCCTGGTATTCTCGGTGATGCTGACATCGTCGTAGTCTACACGGCCGGTGCGCTGGTCGAAGACGACATTTTCAAGCAAAGCCCCGAAACGAATGGCATCCCAAATCTCCGGCTCCTTCTCCCGGGTCAAGCCAATGGCCTTTGCATAGCAGCCTCCCTCGATGTTGAAGATGCCTTGATCCGTCCACGCATGTTCATCGTCGCCAATAAGCAGCCGGTGCTCGTCAGCGGAAAGCGTGGTCTTTCCAGTGCCACTGAGGCCGAAGAAGACCGTCACGTCGCCCTTGTCCTTGCCGGCATTGGCGCTGGCATGCATGCTGAGGATACCCTGCTTTGGCAAGAGGTAGTTCATGATGGTGAAGACGCCCTTCTTCATCTCGCCGGCATACTGCGTGCCGAGGATCACCACCTCCCTGCTCGCGAAGTTGAGCGAGACGGAGGTTCCCGAGGTCATGCCCTCCGTCGCTCGGTTGCACGGGAACGCCCCGGCATTGTAAATTGTGTAGTCCGGCTCTCCGAAGTTCGCAAGCTCTTCGGCTGTCGGCCGGATGAGCATGTTGTGCATGAACAGCGCATGGTAGGCACGGCTGGTAATCACTCGAACCTTGTACCGGTACTTCGGGTCCCAGCCAGCGAAGCCGTCCATGACGTAAAGCCTCTCCCGGGTGTTCAGGTAATCGATGGCACGCTCACGGTTGATCTTGAAGGTGGACTCCGACACTGGGATGTTGACGGCCCCCCACCAAACATCATCCTTGGTGCTCGGCTCTTCTACCACACGCTTGTCCAGCGGCGATCTCCCCGTCTTCGCACCGCTGAAAGCTGCCAAGGCCCCCGTCGAGAGAATCGCAGAGCCCTTCTCATAGCGAAGGGCCTCGTCATAGAGGGTTCCTGGCCTGGCGTTGTGCTGCACCACTTTCGTGTGGATCCCCAGGCCCTCTAGCATTTTGAGGTCTGCATCTGCGTGCGCATGGTAATCTGCAGGCACAGCAGGGATCGGCTGCATGCTCGCACTCACGCTCAAGGCATCAGCGATGACCTGGCGGACCTTCGCCTGGTCCATCGCCAAGCGGCTCACGTGTAGCTGACGCTGCCCAATCGTGCGGACTGCACGGGCCAGAGGTCGAAGCAATGACTGACGAGGAGCCATGACGTCCGCGGTGTGCGAGCGATGGCTGGGGGATGATCGGAGAGCTCCAGGGAGGCGCTAGGACTCTAACTCTTGCCAATACGGCTTTGAGCCCCAGGCATGCATGCCCATCGCGTGGACTTTTGACCCTTGTCATCCCTTATCTAAGAGTACATTCACAGAAGCGTAGCATCACCCAACCAAGAGATTCACGGTCGAGCCTGTTACTTTTGAATCTGTTCGCTTTTCGCGGTGTCTCGCTAAGAGCTCATCGCCTTCCTTGAGGCAGTTCTTCATGAACTCTGAAATCCTAGCGATCTTCGACCCTCAAAGAAGGGCCGAACTGGGAATTGCTGTACTAAACAATGCGAGGCGTGAGGTTCCGCCGACTGACTGAAAACGGCACGGCCAAGGGAATCTGGGTGCCGAAGGAGGGCCGCCAGCAGCTTCCAGGCAGGTTTGCAAGGAATAAAATTAGCTTGAGTACATGACCACGGTGGCACTGACCCTTGTTACTTCTTCTTCACAAGAGTGCTTGGAAGGTCCGCAAACCTTCCTGGAAGCCTTCCGGGGAATCAGGTGGGCAGCTCTGTCGGGATGCTCCACACCCTGCGCACAATATGAGAAGCCGCTGAGACACAGGTGGCTCGCTCCCACAACTGCTAAGATCCTCGACTTGTCTCATACTCGGCCTCTCCAGAATGCATGTGTTCAAAAGCTGCCGTCAGTGCGGACAAACATCTCACGATCTCTAGAAGCACGGCGTGCCCGTCAAGCTCAAAACTCCTGGCCTGTTCAAAATAGACCTCTGCTCCGGCTTTTAGACGATGGCTATGGCTTTGGGGTTCTCGGCTTTGGCTTGTATCGTCTAAGGGCCAGGGCAGCAGCACCAGACTTGCTCTGCTTGTTCGACACATGGGCTTGTTCATTTACACAGATATAATGCACAAGCGTTTTGCTTGGAGAATAGAAACAAAGATAAGAAGAGTCTCAGCAGGCTCATGCCTCACTCAGGGGATGCGGCGAGAATGTCCTCTGAGCATCCTGCAGAGAACTTCTTGAAGTTGTCCTTGAAGAGCGTGGCAAGCTTGACTGATGCCTTCTGGAACTCCTCCTGGTTCGACCAAGTCTTGTTGGGCATAAGGATGTTGCTGTCCACGCCGGCACAGGACTTCGGCACTTGGAGGTTGAACCGCGCGAAAGTCTCGAACTCGCCCCCTGCGAGGTTGCCATCGTGGAGGGCATCGATGATGGCTCGGGTGTCCTTCAAACTCATGCGGTGGCCCACTCCATAAGATCCTGAGCTCTTTAGACATGCATCACTTCGATTCAAGTTACCACCAGAAGGAATGCATGCCACTTACCAGACCTCCCTGTTATGGTATCTTCAAGCGCCTAGGATCCGCCGGTCCAGCCGGTGTTGATGAGCCAGGCGTTCACGTTGTGCTGAGCCATCTTCTCGGCAAGGAGCTCGGCATACTTGGCGGGATGCCACACCATGAAGGGAGCCCCGAAACAGGCGGAGAAGGTGGCGGTAGGCTCAGTGACACCCATCTCTGTGCCGGCCACTTTGGCAGTGTACCCCGAAATGAAATGGTACATCGCCTGGGCTGGCGTCAGCTTTGACACCGGAGGCAGCACCCCGAAAGCATCGCAGGTCAACATGATGATGTTCTTCGGGTGCCCCGCGACGGCCGGGATCTTCACATTCGGGATGTATTCAAGCGGATAGGACACCCTGGTATTCTCGGTGATGCTGACATCGTCGTAGTCTACACGGCCGGTGCGCTGGTCGAAGACGACATTTTCAAGCAAAGCCCCGAAACGAATGGCATCCCAAATCTCCGGCTCCTTCTCCCGGGTCAAGCCAATGGCCTTTGCATAGCAGCCTCCCTCGATGTTGAAGATGCCTTGATCCGTCCACGCATGTTCATCGTCGCCAATAAGCAGCCGGTGCTCGTCAGCGGAAAGCGTGGTCTTTCCAGTGCCACTGAGGCCGAAGAAGACCGTCACGTCGCCCTTGTCCTTGCCGGCATTGGCGCTGGCATGCATGCTGAGGATACCCTGCTTTGGCAAGAGGTAGTTCATGATGGTGAAGACGCCCTTCTTCATCTCGCCGGCATACTGCGTGCCGAGGATCACCACCTCCCTGCTCGCGAAGTTGAGCGAGACGGAGGTTCCCGAGGTCATGCCCTCCGTCGCTCGGTTGCACGGGAACGCCCCGGCATTGTAAATTGTGTAGTCCGGCTCTCCGAAGTTCGCAAGCTCTTCGGCTGTCGGCCGGATGAGCATGTTGTGCATGAACAGCGCATGGTAGGCACGGCTGGTAATCACTCGAACCTTGTACCGGTACTTCGGGTCCCAGCCAGCGAAGCCGTCCATGACGTAAAGCCTCTCCCGGGTGTTCAGGTAATCGATGGCACGCTCACGGTTGATCTTGAAGGTGGACTCCGACACTGGGATGTTGACGGCCCCCCACCAAACATCATCCTTGGTGCTCGGCTCTTCTACCACACGCTTGTCCAGCGGCGATCTCCCCGTCTTCGCACCGCTGAAAGCTGCCAAGGCCCCCGTCGAGAGAATCGCAGAGCCCTTCTCATAGCGAAGGGCCTCGTCATAGAGGGTTCCTGGCCTGGCGTTGTGCTGCACCACTTTCGTGTGGATCCCCAGGCCCTCTAGCATTTTGAGGTCTGCATCTGCGTGTGCATGGTAATCTGCAGGCACAGCAGGGATCGGCTGCATGCTCGCACTCACGCTCAAGGCATCAGCGATGACCTGGCGGACCTTCGCCTGGTCCATCGCCAAGCGGCTCACGTGTAGCTGACGCTGCCCAATCGTGCGGACTGCACGGGCCAGAGGTCGAAGCAATGACTGACGAGGAGCCATGACGTCCGCGGTGTGCGAGCGATGGCTGGGGGATGATCGGAGAGCTCCAGGGAGGCGCTAGGACTCTAACTCTTGCCAATACGGCTTTGAGCCCCAGGCATGCATGCCCATCGCGTGGATTTATTCTAATTGCCCATGCACAGCAGCACAGCGGCATCCAATTTGGCGCTCCGTGGAGGCCACAGAAGAGACGGAGCTCATCTGACCGCGGCTCGAATTCCTCGCTGGGCTTCGGATTGGAGGCAACGATGCGCTGAGCAACTCGAACGACATGTGGGATTCAAGAGAATGACCATGGATGCCTTCTCGGCTCCAAAAAAAACAACTCGTCTGGATGGCTCTAGTCGAGTCTTCGCTCCTCCGGCCCCAAAAAGCAAATCCTTGCACTGCCATCCAAACAGCCCTTTCTTGAATCCGCCCCGGCGGAGGCATCGGCTGCAGACAAAGCCACAGCACGCGGCTTCCAGTGGCTTGAGGCCGCTCGCGCGGAGCGGTGGCAGGGCTAGGCCGCAGCACGGTGTTCACCACCCACCTGCGAAGACTTGGATGTCTTGCGTTTGGGCTTCAGTTTTCAGCTTATTAAGGTGCCCACTCCTGCTACCGCCACTGCTACTGCGAGACGCTCAAAACCTGATCCCAAACAAACCCAAAGAAGCACTGGTCCCTCGAAGCAGCCGGAGCCACAGGTGGATATCGTTGGGTATTGTCGGCGAGAGAACCACCACATCATCGCCATCCTCGACACTTCGACGAGGGCTGGCCGGTTGTGTGGCCGGCTTTGGGAAAGGATGCGGGGCCGAAGGCTGAGGTGTGGGGGGGGATTCATGCCTTATGGTGGTGGGCCTTCCGAAATGACTTGAGATCGCTCGGTTCGCAGCTTCGAGGGGTTAAGGTAAGACCGCCGCTGGCCATGGCTTCAAGTTTCAAAGGTAACCCTTGAGCCTAACAAGGGACAGCACCAAAAAGAGGTCCCAAACATGGCCCAATCCCCTCCCCCGTCAATCGAGCTTACAAAGAGAGGCGGATCAGTCCACTTCCTCACGTTGTGACTTTGTGACTTTAAAGCCCCTGTCCACAACTACCCCTGCCAATTGTATCACTTGCAAGCTCAGCAAATCTTATATCTAGATTGTTAGTCTCTGGTGTGCCTTGTGGAATCAAGCACTGAGTTGAGTGAAATGTCGGGCAAAGTTAGATATTAAACCAGAAGCTAGAACACACCTAGAATATCTACGCAGAGTTAGGTGGAAAGGAAGCGCTTTAACAAGGGAAACACGTGGCGATTGCTTACCTTTTCCTAGCTACTTACATCATTACTAGACCATTATACAACCGACGTCTATTCGTAAAGCTAACAACATACAGGGGTTGCTTTCCGACCTCTAAGCGTGATGCTGTCCCCAGGCATTCGGGCACAAAGCCGAATCGCGAATCGTGAAACCCTACACCATCAGACGACACAGGAGCAGGGTATCCTGACGCCTAGAAGACCTAACTCCGAAGGGCGAACCCTAGACCCTCAAGCCCTCTACACAAAAAACTAAGGAGCGGAAGGGTCCTGCGGAAGCCCTCAAGGACCCTCAGAGGAACTTAGCCCCAAAGCCAAGTCCCCCAAAAGAAACAAACCCTGAACCGTTGAACCCCAAGGGCCTTAAACAAGACAAAACAAGCGCAACTAAAGCCCAGAGTCTCTCAGCTCAATCGCCGCGTTGTCCGGCAGGCCGGCGGCTCGGGCGATGGAGCGTTCCTCTTCAATGCAAAAGGACTGACTGGATTTTGTGGTTCTGAATCGCTGTGAGGACTTCCGTATTGGCCTGTCGGTGTTTTGACTACTGTCTCGGGAGATTTGATTTTTTCAAACTGTGGGCTTGTTCTGCTCGGGAAGCAGCCGGAGATCATGGCAACTCATTTTGGGATACCACAAGTTATAGGGCCGGGCACAGCAAGGCGACAGTTGCCAAGCCGGAGCCATGGGCGTCGAATCTTCAGCTGAGACAGCTGCTCAGACAGTGGGAGACGCCCCCCCCCCCCCAATAAACGTGACTCTTGGACGACCTGGCCCCCACGGATTGCCGGATCATTGCCGGCAAGGCACGATCTGGGCGACAGTGGCCCCGGGATACCTGAGCCACGAAAGTTCACTGAAAGGGTAGACGTGGCAGATTAACCCGGAACAAGGCCCATGAGTCCCTGTACTCGAGTACTCTGTGAAGCCTCAGAATACCCCAAGGTGAAGGCCCATCTGCCCCAAGGCTACCAGACTCTACGAAGATCTTGACACCCTGGACCCTAGAAAGAAGGCCCCGAGCACGAGCAGCATCTCAAGGTTGCTCCAGGGTACCATACCACCGCCTTGTCTTTGATGTGCGGCGGGACGGAGATGAATATCCTCCCGTCTCAACAAGCACGTCTCGCTTGTTTTGCGAGCACCACCTCACGCGTTGACAGAAATCATACCACCGCTCCAGTGCCTCTTCTTGGGCGCCTGGACCTGCAGGGTCGCCCCGTCTCCGATCCTGGCCAGCTTCAAACTTGTTCCACTCTCCCAGAGGGGGTAGAGTTTCCTTGCCTCCCTCTCGAGTTGTGGGGGTTTGCCTTCGGGTTTGGAGTGTAAGAACTCCGGCCATGGACCAAAGCCATTGACGGATTCAAGTGCAGATCAGAGGATTAGGTCGCATCTACAAGCCTAGCACCCGAAACCGCTGTGCCGAGAATGACCTAGCAGGACGCAAATCTCTTGCACACATCCCGAAACCAAGGATGTCGAACAAGAACAAAAGCCAGCTTTCACTTTTCAGCCACAGAGTCTGGTCCAGCCGCTCCACGACGTATGTTTGCTCGGGGAACCTCTGCAGACGGAGCTGTACAAAGCAAGCGCACCCTGCATACCGCCAATTCAAGTAGTTGGCAAAGTGTAGCACCGCGTGGCGGGTTGGTCCAGAAGAGGCAGCCGGGGCACCGATGATGTGGCGTGAGAAGGGAGTGGCCGGGCTCCACGCCCAACGAAGCCTCTCTGCTCTGGCGGTACAAGTATTTGGCTTGAGCTTCTGGGTTTGATTCGTAACTAGCTCCTGCCGGCATGTGGCTGCAACAGGGGTCGACAGAATAGTCGTTTCAGCTACATGACACAATGACATGCAAGTCTTATCACAGTCTTATCACCTTTCAGTGTCGCAGGTAGTATGGTGATGCCGGTAGAATTACTGCTTCGTCCAAGTCTCCTGGTGAACTGCCATTTATCGAATAGCCAGGCTTAAGAACCACGTACGCACTACGGCAGTTCTTGTATGGACTGCAGTTGTCCTAGGGGCTGCTTATGATCGCAGCGATGATCATGGTCATTGAGGATCTGATAGCTTGAACTTGGCTACGGTGTCTACGGGCGTTCTGATGCACAAGGGGATCATCGCGATGGACCTCCTACCAGCCTCACTGGACAGCACATGATCGTCACCTCAAGCTGTCATCAGTACCTGCACAAAAATTCACAGCCCCCCACAGTCAATTTATCTCATCACCGCTTCCATCAAAGCAACATCACCATTAGCACCACTCATCATCATCGCCACCATCACCACCATCACCATGATTCCAGTCATTCTCCTGAATTGACGAAATCCCTACTACCAGCTTCAAGTTCACTGATGAAGTCATGTACGGTGTCTTGTTGATGCCGGTGTCCCAGTTTCCGCTTGCCCCCTTCCCTCGCTGCTGAAGCTGCCAAGTCCGAAGCGTTGTATTTCTGCCTTCTCTGCTGACGCTTGTTGCTAGTAGTTAGTACCACTCGGGCTCTTGCTCCAGAACGCCGAGCCGTTGCATGCATGACGACTGCCACGACCATACCTACGACAATGGCATTCCCTGTTGTTACAAGACAGGCTCTCACGACGATGGTTACTACGACGACTTGTGCCAACACTTACCTAGCACACTATAAGAACCGTTACCATATGATCTCGCCCGTATTTCCCGCCAGCAAGTCAGGGAACCCCAAGCTCCCAATGTTATATCTCTGCTTCAAGACAGGCGGCATAGAGCTCGTCAAGAGATTGTGGTACGGGCACCTGCTTCCTCACCTCCCCGCCAGCTTACTGCGTCAAAAAGCAGCCATCTTCACCCCATGAAGGCTACCGCTATGTGAAGCACAAAGCCATGGAAACAGCGCGATGCAATCTGCAGCTGCTAAAGAAGATCACCGGCCACAGCCATCATGAGCTTGCAAGGCATGCTGGCGGTGAGAAACCACATGGAACAACCTTACATCAGTGATGCAATGTTGACCGCAGTGCGGGCTAGCCCGCCCGATGCTGACAACATCGAGTCCTGGCCTTCTCATTGTTGGGCTGACACAGCGTGAGCTCCCAGGGCTGTCCTAGGGATCCCGGCACAACACCCGAAGAAATCGATTCCCCCTTCCTCCCGCTGTTTGCAATTGGCCGTCTGATCATCACCGTTCTACTACTACGACTATTCGTGCCACCACCATGCCAACAACTGTTAAAGTCGATTCCGGCTACAACAAAGGATGCTCCAACAACGACACGAGCAGTGCCGCTGCTGCTGCTGACGCTGACAGTGCCACAGCTGCCGCTTCTCTTGCTGATCCTACTCCTACCTACTCCTACTCCTTTCCTACAGCTATTAGTGCTACCACCGCTTCTTGCTCCTGTACTATAATGCCACTTCACTACAACAAAACCATGCTTCTTTGCCACTGTACTACTCTACCACTAGTCTGCTACTGCTCTACAAATCTACTACTCTACCACACTACTACCGACTGTTCTACTACCATCCTATTACTCCATTATTATGTTACCATACAATTATGCAAATGCTGCTTCCCTACTCCCTAAACAAGTGTACTGCTGCAGCACACTTTACCTCTGCACTGCTCTTATTTTCTAAGTTAGTGTGTTACTATCTTATCCTACTATTCTACTATCATATTACCTTACTACTATACTACACTGCCGCTACACTACTAGGCTTCTATACTACATGCTATACTACTTTACATACTCAACTGCCAATCTACTACTACGGTTACGATTACTGCGACGACGACACTTTTACCACTACTACAATGCCTACGCTCAGCACGACTGACACGACTGCCATGGCTACCACTACTGCGACGACGACGACGACGACGACTACTACTACTACTACTAGTACTACTACTACTACTGCTGCTGCTGCTGCTACTACTGCTGCTGCTACTACTGCTGCTGCTAGTGCTACTGCTGCTGCTGCTGCTGCTGCGACTGCGCCTACGACTACGACGTTGAGGACTACTACGACGGCCCTTCCGGAAACTGCACATCAATCAAACCCCAGTGGGTGTGGGTACTCCCTGTGTTTAGTTCTGACGGCGCGAGGGATACTAAGGCGGCAACGACGACGAGTGCAAACAGTACTTCCTTCTGCTAACCGATCAGTACCTGCTTCAACCTACAGTACTGGTGATGCACTAGGCGAGGATGCCGACTCAAGGCGATGACACGATGACCGGGCTACATATCCAGCAGAACGATCTTAACTCATCAAAGTAGTCCCACCTGGCTCAAAAAATGCCTCTGACAGAAAACTAATTTGAAATCTGCTCTGTAGGCCTTGATTCAAAGTCGCCTTCCACAGGACGACAGGTTTGGGATTCAAGGCTGAGGGCTGGTGGTCGCCGAGCCGCTAAAGTCGGCGCTCATTTGGTCGGAGCCGAGCCAAGCACACCCGGCCCCAGGTTTTCTAGGAACCTGTCCTGTAGCACCCCGGTTGTTACCTGCGATCCTTGGACTGAAACATTCTGGTTTGGTGACTTTCTACCCAAGCGACGTGGGTGGGATTACCTGCGGTGTAAGACATTAGGCTGGCTCTGCGGCGGGCTGAGCGTGATTTTGAGCTGTGAGCTGCGTCCTTACACCGTGTCGGGTGAATTGTAGGCTGCAGGTTCGGCACGGGAAACGCTGCAGCTGTAAGATGGGGTCTCGGAAGGCTGGTCTGGACCCCTTTTCTTCCGCGAACCTTCGCCCTCACTTCAAACCGATACTGAAACCCTGAGTGCCCTGTAGTTCCCGTTCGCGGCTACTCGTCGTCTGCTTGAGCCACGGAAGCATCGGAAGATCACCCGAGACGAATGGGACTCTGAACAGCTGTGGCTGCTCTGAATGCTGAAAGGTTCAACCCCCCTTACTAGAGATACCACTGCATGAAAGACAACCAGCCACCAATGTACACCATGCTCAAACCCAAGCGAAGCGGAAAAATGCTGAGACGTACTATGGCTGTGCTTGATTCGGCCGAGTTCTGTCCATATTGGGCTTGACTGCAATAGAATCAAGGTTGTCACTGGTGCCATGGCACATCCCTAACAAAATCCCAACTTGACACAACCTGTGACGTGACGGTGGCCTCTCATTTCAATCCTCACATCCCCTCCACGCGAAACCAAGCCGAACATTGGCTGGGTCTTCCTTGAGCCTCAGAGTCCTGTCCTCACTGAGCACCACATTGCCAATCTCTTGCCGCGTATCCTCGCGTTCAATAACATGCAGCATTAACAATATAATTGTCATAGCACTGATGCTATGAAAACAACAGGTTCTGATTAAAAAACTCTAACACGAAAATCTATAATGTTAATTTTGGTCTTATGCAAGCATCCAGCTCCGACCTGCCGAGGCTTCACTTCTCGGCTGGGGCCCGCCCTAGGCTTCATCCCCACGCAAGGAAGCTTCCGAATCTGTAGGTTTTAGAATCATAGGATAGGATTTTGGGGCCCATTATACTATAGTCATAATCAGGAACCCCCCAAAATGGCATGGCCCCTATATTACGTTCGAGGCTGTCATCTCCGCTCTTTGAAACCCCTGCCCTTCCTACTCTTCAAGGCCAGAGAGTAAACAGCGGCAAGGGGACAGGAATGGTGCGCGTCCACGGCTCCCAAGCCCAAAACCAGAGCGAGCTCCAGAAATGAAGCACCCCCGAACTCAAGCAGCCCACCTCCGGAAAGCCATCGACCAAGTCTCCCGGCTTTAAGGCCTCGTGAGCAGCTGGACCCACGTCTTGAGCTCAGGTTTTTAAAAAGTTCCCTGGACGTGGTTCAACTTGGCACACCTCGGTGGTTTCAGTCGCCCACCTCGATCAAGTCCGAGGGCATGCCAACGAACCTTAAGTTTGCTTCAGGCGGTCGACGGTATGTGAACACGGCATCGCTCCATAGGCACCAGCTACATTTCAGCTACATCGCAGCTGCACGTGCCCTGGCATGCGTTGAAACGGTAGCTGGCAAGAGCACGGACACAATAGCATGGTGACATGGTAGCTTCAAAGCCAGGTGCATCTGCACCCAAGGCTTTTTTCAATTGAGCAAGAAGAAGAAAAGCATTGGTGTGTGACACATGAATTACATAACCCTCCCTCCGGCTCCCTGCGTTGCGATAGCCGAGGGACGTCAAGATCTCTGGGGGCGTCATGTCGGGGTCATTGGGGCCCCTGTCCTTGGCTCCGCCAAAGGTTCGCAGAGAGGGCTTTCCGGGCAACCAGCCAAGTTCTCCGCTAGGCAAGTACTGGCAGAGAGCGTGAGGACTAAGGATTGAGGGTTGCGGGTTTCAACTCTTTTGGCGTTTACACTCGGACTCTCCAAGTGCGGCAGCTTCTGTACATCCAAGTCGGATGAGGCGTAGGTGAATGCACAGCAGCTGCCGATATAAACAAACCGACCAGCCACTAAAGACTGAAGTGGAAGCAGCTGTGCGTGCTCTCTCAAGGCGTCGTGATTGCTTCTGGCTGCTCAGGCTGCAGAAGGGAATGTACCATCTCACCTCTGTCGCTTTTGCAGCCAGAGCCTGTACAGAGAAGAACCTGGCTCAGGTTACAAAAATCCAAATGGCTGTACAGCAGGTGCAGGTTGAAGGACCACTCGGACACTAGGCACTGTACAGGCGTCGTGCTGTTGATTTCAACTAACATCTGCGAGTCCTGGCTTTTTAACCGGATGAATTCAGCTCATCCTGGATCTAGCAATCTAGCAAGCGGGTACAAAGTCTTTGCGATAGAAGTGTCTCACCGGTGACGCGGTCCGGCGTCGTTGGAAAGAACTTTCATACCCATCGAGGTCTGCAGAGTCGTCGACCTCCACGAAGGTTTTGCGTATCACTGTTCTTACCTCAATTGACTCGCGCAGACGCTGCCGCAAATCGTCGAGACTGTGGTCATCTCTAAACCGGGGGGCTAAGGATTCAATCAAACTCGGAGCCGCCCGGCCACCGCGCGAGCGGCGATAGGCCGCCTTTTGCAGAGCGTAGGCACGCTGGAAGTGCGGACGCACTCGATCCCAGTCTTCCCGTGCAATGGCGCACTGGTACGGCAGCAGCTCCTGCCCATCCACGGACTGATAGAAGGCAGCTTGCGCACCGATCCTCTGCAGGAACAACGTGAGATACTCCGAAAGCAGAAAGCTGCTGCTGCGGACCATTCGAGGGTCATAGCGGACCCAAGACGTGAGCCCATCTCGCTGACCGGCATCAATCGTAACGTCCTCTTCCCCAGGTCCCGCCGGAATAAGCGGTCGGCCCCGCCGCCAGCTTTGGATTGTGAGAACGGCATAGCACTGCATGTCCCTCATGCGCATCTCAGCAACGGCAGGTCGGTTGACGAACCACTGCGTGCAGTCCCTTGCCGACTGGAGCAGGTTCTCGAAGTGCACTGAGGCCCACATTGGCACTGAGAGCACCCGCAACACCCAGTCAAGTGCAAAGGTGCTGGGACCCTGTGGCCTGCCCACGACGAGAACCTCCAACTCTTCCGCCAAGCATTTCACCAGAAAGGCGCTGTCGCCGCGTCCCGGGTAGTTCCTCCGAACCATCCAGCACACGTCACCAGGCATCTCCGTGCTGGGAATCCTCTTGCTGAGCAAAAGGAAGAACACTGCACACTGCCGATTGAACCTCCACGCAGAGCGTCTGCGCACCACGGCATGGCCTGGTGCCACTTGCTGCACCACCTCGGACAACTCCTCATTGAGCCCTTGATACGTGCTCCTTGCCCACACACGCGTCTCCGGTCGCACGAAGAGGTATGAGGTGTCTGCAGGCGGGCTGTGGACTTCGATGTCCTTCAAAGAGAACCTGACAAGATGTCCACCCCAGGGGCAGTTTTGGTGCAACAACCTGCCCGCAGAACTGTCACGCACGGTCTGCCAACCCTCGTTGTCGAGCAAAGTTGGGACGAAATGGAACCAGTCCTCGACGCTTTCTGGACGGACTGCCATGCGCTTTGTACTGCTTACTCTGCGGCCGCACTATAATTTGAAGAACTCGAGCCTGTGAAATTGATTGCCAGGTTTTTCGGTTCTCGGGCTGCGGGTCGTAGGACGGGTGTACAGGACGGATGACTTTAATGCTTTCCCGTTGTTTGCGCCCTTTCAGCTAAGAGGAGCTGAAGGCTGCAGTGGGGGTGCCCAAGGCCCATTCAACAAACTCTTGGATGTGTTTCTCTGGTTTTGGGCTTTAGGGCCAGGGCTAAGGAAACTTGATGTGACTCCAATTTTGAGCTGGTGGCTTCGAAGCCACAATTTTGCAGTAGTCGGCAGCGTCTGCAACCCGACAAACAAACGCCCGACCTTCTTCATTCCCAAACCCTCCCCAGAAGCACGGAACCCAGCTGGATCCACTTCCTGCGAGCAGAGCGAAGTTTTGGATCATTGGGCTGCTCATATCGACCTTCTGTTATGTAACTGCACGATGCTCCGAGGGAGAGAGGGCAGGCCGGGCGCCTCGACGTCGCCGCCGCCCCAGGCGCCGTAGTCCAGCGCCTTCGCGATGCCATCGGAGAGGGGGCCTGCAAGATGGCTGCCACTTTTCCGGTGACACTGATGGCTCTCGTATCTGGATCTCCACTTCGTCTGCCCTTCGTCCATGTTTCGGTGGTCCAAAGCGGAGTCCCAAGGCAAAACAGGAAGCCCCACGGAGAACAACCGCCTCACGGGTTTGGCTACAAGCTTCTGATTCTACCGTAGCACTTCTCAGTTCCGCCCCTGGTCTGGTCTGAGAAACACCTCCAAATGCGTCCACGGCACTAACACATCAATAGCCCCAAGTCCGTGCGGATCGCCAGCATAAGGCTCCCAGATTGAGCTTCGGGCTCCCCAGTCAATCGAAAGAACACCAAAGAAAACGGCAAAATGAAGGATGCCACTGTTAAAGGTTGAAGTCACGGGCCTGTGCCCTCAGGGTTAGAGGCTTCCCTGAACTGCCTTACGGCTCTAATTGCTGGCCTGTCCACTTGCCCGTCTGCATGTACCGGGCCTTCCCGCAACGGGCAACTCTTAATACAAGCAGAGCAGGAAAAGTGCACAAGAGCAAGCGACTACAACTGCTTTCTGAGGTTCCACCTTCGCATAGGAGTGGCAGATGTCCTGCTGAGCTGAGCACTTGCGCATGCATAGTGGTCCGTTCCCACAACTCCATGAGTACTTACATGAGTTTGTCCGCTGGAGAATCTGCAAATAGGGAAACAAACCAATTGAATTGGCAATGCTCCCTTCCATTTGTCAAATGGGAGCATCAACGAGGTAGTCTTCAGGCTTATCCAAAGCCACACCCAGCTCACCCCTAGCTCTCAGCTCCGATTTCGATGCGTCCTCTGCATCCAGCAGCAGTCTGAGACGGGGTCTTCCGCTGTAACCCAGCTCTGGCTCCCAATCCGGCCTGCTTGGGCTGTGTGGGGCGAAACCCATTTCGGAAATCTCAGGAGCATGTCGCAGGCAGGAGTTCTGTCCAAAACTCCACGTCGAGAAATCGCAAAACAATGTGCTCCTGGAAAGTGCTGCGAGGGGGCGACGCCCGTTGCATCCTAACCCCCCCCCTAGGCTAAAACCTTGCACCAGACTTCACTGGGCCCGTGGCCCTTCCATGCGCGGGTCGAAGAGCCGGGCGAGCTCATCCGTCCAGCCCGGGCCGGTTACGTTGGCCTGGCCCAGGAGCTCTAGACTGCAGCGCTCCTCGACAATTCCGCCACTAGCAAATCCGAATAATGATGATGATGATGACGATGGTGATGGTGATGATCTTGGTGTTGGTGATGGTGGTGCTGGTGGTGAAGATGATCCTGACGAAACAACAACGAGGAGGATGGTAATGACTGGAATCCTGAAAGCGGCTGGATGTTGCTACTGAGATTGCTGCTGTGCCTCCTCATGTTGTTGGTGTCTAGGCCCGAGTCTCGGCAGTCTCCATTGTATATAGTCGGGTAACCGTTTCTACTGTCAGTCGTCTGTACTGACAAACCCATGGCGGTGGTGCTAGTGGCTGCGGTTGCGGTGGTGAAGGCGGCGGAAGCGGATGAAGTTCCAGACTTGAACTGAAATTCGCCTCGGTCCCTGTTTCCTCATTTCGTAACCCCTCCCCAACCTCCCCGCCCCCGCCTGCCCCCCACCCCCTCCACACCCCCCCACTCTCGTCGTCCCTTGCCGCGAGGCAAGACAGGCTAGCTTTCACCCCATGAGCCTGGAGCCCATTCCTGCGTTCCGCAGCTCTCGAGCTGTGTCTGCAAATGCCAGGGCCTTCCGCAACACGGCTCCCCGGGAGCTGGCCACCCGCCTGGCTCATCGACTTGAGTCCAACATCTGCAACCTACTTCGGCCCACACACAGCATTCGATTCCTGGGACTAGGATGCTTCCAGTCGGAATCCTTCGGATAAGCAAACCTGGAAGCTTCAACGGCAAGCTCCCGTACTGCATAAGCGTACACCATGGACAACATTACGCACCTGCCGTTCTAAAACTTGCACGACAGGGCCTCTTCGCTAGAACACCTGCGGCCACAGCCGTGGCAGCTGCGAGTGTTGACGAGACACCTCAGCACTTGAGATCTATGGGCAGCTGTCGTGGAGAAGCTGCACAGGGAGTGCTAGCTTGCAGAACCAACCAGCAACCAACATGACTACTGCATCTCCACAATCACCAATGACAAATCAACTCTTGTGCTTGTTAAAGGCTATCCGAACCATAGACCGCTAAGTCCTTATGAAGCAGAAGATCTAGGGAGATTTGATGTGTACACATATGTGTATGTATGTATGTATGTATGCATGTGTTTATATTGGTATGTCTGTGTCTCTGTATGTTTGTATGTATATATATATATATATACATACACATGCAAGCATGTACATAAGGCATTGGCATTTCCAACGATATTTGCATAGGCTAGAGATAGTAGTCATGATTCGGCTAAGGGGGAATACACTGTGAAAGTATTAGTGCCAGCACAAGCAGCGGCGGTAAGAAACAGAAGACAACGAAAGATGAGACAAGGAAAACAGATCAATAACACTGAAATGTATCAAGAGTCTTGGCAAGAGCAAGCAGACCAAAATGCTTGTAAAACAGAGGTTGCTTTTTGCCACCCACACAGTACCGGGCTGCACAAAATCTGACAGGTCATGACTTATACTTCCGTCAGGAAGACTGTCGCAATGGCAACTGCCACCGTACCAGCAATGACAATACCTTTATCTGGATTGCTAGTATGATTGACACGGAAATCATACCATTCATCCCGAGACCTCAGCGACACACCCCGCTCTGGCGCGTCACGAGTCGCCCGCCGCCCGCCGGACGTCGGCCTGGCCGGATGCTGGGATGTAGGAATTCTTGAATCCTAGCCCAAGTGTTGTTTCAAGCAGAGGCTGCAGCTCGTTGTGCTCCACAGCCAATCGTTCCTGGCCCAGGCTCGCCTCGCCGGCAGTGCCGGCAGCGGGCCCCCAAAGGCAAAGGCCTTGTCATCATTGAAGGCTGTCGAAGCGAGAATATACAGCAGCCTTATCAACTGAAAACGAGCGGTTAACAAAACAGCTCAGAGATGCAGCCCCTGCCTCAGCAAATAGCGCCATGGCCACAAAGCGGTGGAAATCGCACTTCGAAAGCCAAACCTTCCCTCAGGGCTTGTCTCGTTTTGGGGCCACGTGGGTTCAGCATTAACTAAGCTCATATGGGCATAGTTACCATGCAGGTTTGAACATGCGAAACGGAGCTAAAAGCAGTCTGACTGTTTGGCTGACCACCCGGAATGCCGTCGATGTTTTGTTCATGTCTGCAACTTCGGCATGGCTATACAAGCCACAAATGCGCAGCGAGTCACCCAATTGCTTTCTGGACCTGGAGGACGCCAACAACACCGTCAAAATGCCTGAGCCTTGTCAAATCCACAGGCACTTTGCCCGCGTCAACTGAAAAGCAGCATTATTCGTCATCGTCAAAAGTCCAGAGTCTTCTGATGCCACCTCAACGGATGATGCACATCAGATCGGGGAACGACCGTGCAAACTCGCCACAATAATTCACTTGACTACTGTACATCAGGAAGCTTTAGTTTCCGGACCTGCTCAAGATCGCAATACAACTGACAACTAACGGCCGCGACTTCAGCCGGGCTGATTCGGAAGTACGAAAACGGCGCCGAGCGAGAGAGAGAGGGAGGGAGGGGGGGAGAGAGAGAGAGAGAGAGAGAGAGAGAGAGAGAGAGAGAGAGAGAGAGAGAGAGAGAGAGAGAGAGTCGGCGCTGTGCGGTGCGTTGCCATAGATTACATACACGGAAACTAACATGTAACGAGACAGAGACGGGACAGAGACGGAGACGCAAACACAGACAGGGACGGACAGCCAGCCAGCCAAGATCTGGTGGACGCCACCAACACGGTCAAAATGTTCAAGCCGTATAAGCATTATTCGTCATCGGTGATCCCGCTGGATAGATCTTCTCTGGTCGTTCGCTCCAGGCTACCCGAAACTCGCACTCTGCACGCAAAGACGTGTGGAAAGATGCTTTCGATCAAGATGCCGAGAAGGCTGACAACTTATGTTCATTTGGAAGCATGCCACCCCAAATTGTCACAAGTGCATTGCATTGCTTTCACTTCGTAGGGCAGGCCTGCCCTCCTCACGCCACCAGTCGGCACAGAAGAACGCGGAAGCCGAGACTCTCGCTCCCAGCGACGTGTACCGTAGGAATCCCCCAGTGGGCGCATTAGCCCATCGCCCCACTGTCATGCACAGCAAAGTCTGCTGCACGTTGGCCCCAAAGGACCCCGGATGAGGATTCTGGTGGAATGCAGCAAAAAAGAGGCTGCAAGTCCGCAGGACCCCCAGCCCAAGCGGCGTGCCCCACACCCGGCCGGCGGTGTGCAAGCTGTGGCCATCAAGGCAGCCACAGCCCGTGGGTAGGGCGCGTGAACACTTTGATCCAAGAAGTTCCAAAGGAACAACATGATGACGGCACATCCAGAGCAGGCGGAGAGAGCTTGGGTGTTAAACTTATTGAACACATAATATGGAAAGACGACAGGAAATGTCGTTGCAAGTGTGCCGGGGCTTCACATGTTGGGAACCTGCCTCTGTTGAACCCACAGCATTAAATTCCTGTGGCAGCAGCTGTGAACAACGTTGCCAGAAAACTTATATTCATGAGGAAACATCACAAGTGCATTGATTTGCTTTCACTCTGCTTTCACTTCGTAGGGCAGGCCTGCCCTCCTCACGCCACCAGTCGGCACAGAAGAACGCGGAAGCCGAGACTCTCGCTCCCAGCGACGTGTACCGTAGGAATCCCCCAGTGGGCGCATTAGCCCATCGCCCCACTGTCATGCACAGCAAAGTCTGCTGCACGTTGGCCCCAAAGGACCCCGGATGAGGATTCTGGTGGAATGCAGCAAAACAGAGGCTGCAAGTCCGCAGGACCCCCAGCCCAAGCGGCGTGCCCCACACCCGGCCGGCGGTGTGCAAGCTGTGGCCATCAAGGCAGCCACAGCCCGTGGGTAGGGCGCGTGAACACTTTGATCCAAGAAGTTCCAAAGAAACAACATGATGACGGCACATCCAGAGCAGGCGGAGAGAGCTTGGGTGTTAAACTTATTGAACACATAATATGGAAAGACGACAGGAAATGTCGTTGCAAGTGTGCCGGGGCTTCACATGTTGGGAACCTGCCTCTGTTGAACCCACAGCATTAAATTCCTGTGGCAGCAGCTGTGAACAACGTTGCCAGAAAACTTATATTCATGAGGAAACATCACAAGTGCATTGATTTGCTTTCACTCTGCTTTCACTTCGTAGGGCAGGCCTGCCCTCCTCACGCCACCAGTCGGCACAGAAGAACGCGGAAGCCGAGACTCTCGCTCCCAGCGACGTGTACCGTAGGAATCCCCCAGTGGGCGCATTAGCCCATCGCCCCACTGTCATGCACAGCAAAGTCTGCTGCACGTTGGCCCCAAAGGACCCCGGATGAGGATTCTGGTGGAATGCAGCAAAAAAGAGGCTGCAAGTCCGCAGGACACCCAGCCCAAGCGGCGTGCCCCACACCCGGCCGGCGGTGTGCAAGCTGTGGCCATCAAGGCAGCCACAGCCCGTGGGTAGGGCGCGTGAACACTTTGATCCAAGAAGTTCC